CGCCTCCTGCAGAATGCGAGCAGAAGAAACGCATCCCTCTCACCATCCGACATTCCATCAAAGTCGCACCTATTCCAAGAAACATGCATCCCATCTACAACAAGGCACGGCGAGAAACCCGAATACGAGCCCTCAAAACCCAATACGAACACTCCCCGGATTCTTCTTTTACTCGCTACACGGATGCTTCCCCGTACCCCCAACAAACAGCCCACGCCGTGAGCGTCACCGACGCCCATTGCAAAGAACTGACGGCAGCTACAATTCTCACTACGTCTATCGAGACAGCAGAAGAGCTCGCCATTGCTTTGGGGGCCACCACTGGCAACGAATATATCACTGTACTGACCGACTCTCAAGCCGCTTGCCGCAACTTCCTACTTGGCCGCATATCACCAACGGCCCTCAAAGTTCTACAAAACGTACGTCAACTCCCAGAACTCCATATCGTCTGGACCCCCGGACACGAGTCCTTCGAGGGAAACGAAGCAGCACACGCCGCTGCCCGCGCTCATATACACCGGGCAGTTTCTCAAGAAGGCGACGACACGCAAACCCCATGCACTTTCAAACCTACTCCTCTTAAGAAATACGCGGACATCCTCGCTCATTACCGCCACGAACGACGACAGTTCCCGCCACCGCACCCCCGCCTATCCAGAGCCGAAGCGACCGCTTTTCGTCGGCTACAAACTAACTCGTATTCCCACGGCACTCTACTGCACGCCATGTACCCCACCCTATATTCTGCTACCTGCAAATTTTGCTCCCAGCCTGGCACCCTGTACCACATGGTCTGGGAGTGTCAGCAAACCCCATCCCTCGCCCCCAACCCTCACGCAACCTACGAGCAGTGGGTGGGCCAGCTGACCAGTTCCGACCTCTCAGCCCAGCGTAGCCTGGTGGAGAGAGCCCGGAAAGTCAGCGCGGACCAGGGCTTCCCGGACTAGAGGAGGCCCCCCACCGGGCGGGCGCCCAACCATCAGCGCCTGAAGCTCTATTTATTAAAAGTTTATTCCTCCTCCTCCTCCTCCTCCTCCTCAAGCACATTTTCCTCTCACCTCACGCGCCTGGCCCAAGTACTCGAACTTTTCCGTAACACCGGCCTTCAATTAAATTCGTCGAAGTGCCACTTCCGCAGTTGTCGAATAAAGCTTTTGGTCCATTTGGTGAATAAAGCCGACGTTCAACCAGACCCTGACAAAGTAAATGATGTTCAGGACTTTCCAAGACCGCGCTGCACTAAGGACGTCCGCAGCTTTCTGGGATTGTCTTCATATTTCCGCCGTTTTATACACCGTTTTATACACATATACTGCCCGCCCACTTAACACCCTTCTGAAAAAGGCACGTCTTTGTTATGGCAATCGGACGAAAAACGAGCGTTTACATGCTTAAAGACCGCTTTAACGAACAGCCGCATTCTAGGTCATTTTGATGACTCAGTACCCACTGAGTTACGCACTGATGCCAGTGGCCATGGGATTGGTGCTATTTTGGCTCAAATTCAATCCGGACACAACAGAGTAATTGCTTACGCTAGCCGCACGCTTCCTTCAGCCGAAATATATTACACGTTCACCGAGCAGGAGTGTCTAGCGGTTGCGTTGGCAATAACAACATTTCAGCCATACTTGCTTGGCCGCCGGTTTTCTGTAATCCCTGACCATCACGCCCTGTGCTGGCTATCGTCTATAAAAAATCCTGTCGACCGCTTTGGAAGACGGGCTCTTCGACTCCAAGACTACGATTTCACCATAACCTATAAATCAGGGAAGCCGACTGCCTATTCCGTTACCCCGTGGACTCTATTACCCACATCAATGAAGACACCGAGATTCCCGTTGTTCCTATCTCCAACCTTCAGGACATTGCCCAGGAACAGAACCCTGATCCACTACTGCACTCTATCATTTCAGATTTGAGAGGTAACACCAATACACCTTCCTCAAGTCTCTACTCTCTCCAAAATGGCGTTTTCTATTGACAAAATTTTCGACCCTACGGTCGTTCTTGGTTTCTGGTCATACCCAAGCACTTAGAAACGTCTATTCTTGCCGAGCTGCATGACGCACCACCATGCGGTCACTTGGGTATGTTGGGAACCTACGCCCGTGCAAAGCAATGATTTTACTGGACAGATCGTACAGATCAGTAAAGTGATACCTCACATCGCGTGACTCCTGCCAGCGCCGAAGAAGGCCCTACTCCCATCCTCCAGGATTTCTACAACTTCTGAATTTTCCTGAGCAGCCATTTCACCGCGTAAGAGTTGACCTTCTTGGACCCTTCCCTACTTCCTCAACTGGTAATCGCTGGATAGCGGTCGCGATTGACCACACCACACGCTATGCAAAACACAAGGTCCCTCCTGACCGGGACGGCAGTTGACGTCGCCCAATTCCTGCTCGAAGACATCATCCTCAAGCACGGAGCACCTCGAGAACTTTTGTCCGACCGTGGAGGGCCGTTCAAATATAGCGTCGTAACTGAAATCTTGAACCTCTTCTTCATTCTTCACAAAAATAACTACAGCCTACTATCCACAGACGAACGGCCTATTAGAACGCCTTAATCGGACCCCTGCCGACATGCTCGCTAGGTACGTTACCCACGAGCACAACAATTGGGACGTTGCAGTCCCTTACGGAACTTTCGCATATAATTCCTCTCCTGATAATACAATTGGCTACTCTCCCTTCTATCTTCGTTGCGGTCATGAACCCCTCCTCATGTTGGACACACTGCTTCCGCTACACCCCGAAACCTCACTTTCCGACTATGCGTCGGGCGCCATATGACGTGCTGAAAGAGGCACGACAACTTGCACTCCCGTGAACTCTCGATTCTCAGGAACGGCAATGCGCCCGTTAGGACAGCACCCGCAGTTTCGTCGCTTATTCACCTGGTGACCTGGTTCTGATCTGGACCCCACAGCGACAAGGCGGCCTTGCTCAGAAGCTACTACCTCGATATTGCGGTCCTTGGATCCTCAACCGAACAAGTGACGTCAATAATATAGTTGGACTTGTCGAACCTCCACAAAATAACCGCCTTCGTCAAGTACAAACATTTCACGTCCTCTTACTCAGACCATACATTCTCCAATGAAACGGCGGGACGCCGTTTCCAACCGAGGCGGAGTGATGTTAAGAAAAAAAAGAAGATGATTTTTCGTCAGGAGAAAAGAGAAGAAAGGTAAAAAACACAGGCGAGCTGGTGAATGGTATCCATATTAACCCTGAGACGAAGGAAAAATAAAAAAAACGGACAGTACAACGAAGTCTCTAACACAGCTTGAAAATTTATTTAACAACCATCGTCTTATATACATGTCACCGACCTCCAAAACAGTTCAAAAGACCTCCTCGCCCACTTCACAGAGTACCCTCACCCTCAACATAAACCGACAAACGCACACAAAGCAAACACGCCCAAAACACAAAGGGACACTAACTCGAAAAGGGAAAGCAGGAACTTCCGCACTTGACAAGGTCAGACCGAACCAAACATCACTTATAAACTCTTTTGTTCCCCTATCAAAAAACAAACAAGATTGGCCAAAAAAAAAAAAAAGTAAGAAGAAAAGAACCCGAACCACGAAACAAGTGACCCAGCACTTAAAAAAAAAAAAATTATAAGCCTAGAAACTTTTTTGTTCCCTTATCAAGAGCTAATGAAGGTTGACTGATACAGTTACCGAAGCTTAAAATACATGAGAAGAGATTGAGGCGCCGAGCTTTGGATGACTGTAATCGCCATTTTCTGTCTTCACCTAAAGTAAATTAAATCATTTTATATATTCATCTTAACAATATAAATATATATATCTATATATATATATTAGTTTATAAGAATAATCAAGGTTAGACACAAGAACACTAGTTACGCGGGGAAAAAGTTAAAAAAAAAGGACGGAAAAAATGTTAAAGTTAAAGAAAAACTTACAAAATAAAATTTCAAATGGGAAATTGAATACAGAATTAGAAATAAAAAATAAAAATAAGGAAAGGGGCCTGACATTCGTCGACGTTTCGACAGGGGCACTGTCTTCTTCAGAACCAGATGGCGCAGTAGGTTGGTTTTATATAGAGTTCCTGTATAGGCTCCCTACGGGAGCCAGAGTTGAGCGTTTGTTTTCCACGTGCCGCCGCGCCGCTATTCGCCGAGATCCCATCACGTGTAGAGCCGGATCAAGTGCCATGCAGGAAAGTAGACGATGCACGCGCCCCGCCATACGTACCCCTGCATCTTCTTCTTCTAAGCGCTGTGAAAGATGGTAGGGGGGAGGCGAGGGCCAATAGTGGTAAAGCCCCTCGATGTTTTTGCGCTTGTCTTGCAAGTAGCGTCAAATGCGCGAGTGCATGAGGCCCATGTCTCGAGCGACCCTTGGAAGCAAATGGCGGCGCAGCACTGAAATGAGCGGGCCTTGGAAGCGAATGGCGGCGGAGCACCCGCTCATGGCACGTGTCTCGAGCGCTTCCACAACAATGGTTGGCGGTACTTGTGAAAAACGCTTTTATCAAGGGACTTTAAATAGTGGTTGCGCATCGGGCGCTTGGTCACTGGCTCTCGGGGGGAGGGGGGTGTGGGGAGAAAGGTTGGGGGTGGAGGGGGGAGATAGAAATAGATTTGTAGAAGCGGAGCGGGGGCGGGCATGTCGGAGTACGCGCGAGGGGGATTAATTTAGTTGCATCGAATACCGGGTGGCCCGGGATGGGGGGCGGGGGGAGTTGGGGGTCCAGCGCTGGAGGCTGGCACGGCACGGTGTCCGGCGATCAAGCAATCGTCCGGGGCGACCACGTCGTGTGGTGGGAGGTTCCACTCTAGTCCATCTGCGCCGGAATCCGGGCGCGTTCGTCGAGCACGCGGCAGGTGCGCGCCAAAGCGAGCGTCCAGGGCACGACTGAGCCCTGGACGCTCGCGTGGTGGGCCGCATGTTCATGCGGCCCAGCACGGCTGTCAGGGCCCCGCTCCGCGGTCGGCGGGCGCCGGGAGGAAGTTCAGAGGGACCACAGGAGCCCGGTTTCTTCCAGAAAGGTCAGTAGGGCCCTGAGCGCGCGGTCTTTGCCGCGCCGGTCGCCCCTGGGTCTCAGTATTTGTTCTGTGGTGTTGCAGGGCAGCCCCAGTGCGGCGAGGGATGTTGTCATGGCCGCCCGGGCGTAAGCGTGTGCCGGGCAGGCCAGGAGGAGGTGGTCGAGATCCGACCATTCTCCGCAGGTCGGGCATTCCGGGTCGGCCTCGTTGCGCAGGAGATGCATCCATGCCGGCGTCAGGGCGCACCCCGTCCGGATCCTGTGGACGACTGCGGCGGCTGGACGGCCCGTGCCGCGAGGGGGCTTCGCCGGTCGGTCCCCGGCCGCGTACCGCTCGTCCAAGTGGTTTGCGGCGGCCTCCCGTGCGATAAGAAGCTTGGCGTCGGCGAAGGGGCCCACGTCCGACGTCCGGAACTCGGCGGCGTCATGGACCCGCTCCACCAGGGCGTCCGCGCGCTCGTTGCCAGGAATCCGGCAGTGGTTCGGGACCCACTGGAACGCCAAGCGGTGGCCGAGGCCGCCGAGGAGCAGAGCCTCACTAGCGATCTCCCGTGCGAGGGGGCATGCTCCCTCGAGCCCGTACAGCTGAGACAGGGCCGCCTGGGAGTCGGAGAGCAGCAGCCAGCTGTCCGGGCGTCGGCTCTTGTAGTGGATCAGGCGCAGCGCTAGAAAGATCGCCGCCAGCTCCGTGGTGGTGCTGGTGTCGTGGAAGGCGAACCGTTGGCCCAGGCTCAGATCTGCCCTCTCCACAAAGGCAGCCGCCGTCGACGAGCCGTCGCTGGGCCGCACGGAGCCGTCGGTGTACACCCTTGCCCAGCCGGGGTAGTGCCGCTTGATGTGGTCCTCCGCCAGCTGTTTGGCCGCGACGTCGGCCGTCCTCCGTCGAGGGCCCATCCCGTCGACTCGGAGGTGGACAGTCAGTGGATGGGGGTCGGAGTGCAATGGTGGGAGGGGAGTGATCACCGGTGCAGGGCCTGCGACGTCCCTCAAAACGCACAGAAGCTGCCCCAAGCGCGACTCGGGCCTCTCCGCGATGCGTGCCAGCAGCGGTGCCGCGGACTCGCAGGTGGAAATGCGGATGAGGTGCCCAAGTGCGCGCTTTTGGAGATGGTTGCTGACGGTGTTGGCTCCAGCTTCCGTGTACGTCGGGATGGACGCCGCCGACCTGGATATGCCGAGGCAGATCCTAAGTGCGATCCGGTGGACTGTCTGGAGGTTTGCCGCCTGTGAGGTGTTGAGGCTGAGTAGCGGCAGCGCGTAGAGCGCCACCGACAGCACCAGTCCCTGATGTAGTTGGAGCATCATGTTCTGGGATGCCCCCCAGGTGCTGCCGGCGAGCGACCGCAGGGTGTTCATGCGGCGCCGCATTCTTTGGACTACGTTCGCCACCGCTGCCCCCCACGTCAGCCTCCTGTCCAGGAAAAGGCCCAGGTATGTGACCTTCTGCTCGTGGATGATCGGCTGCCCCTCGATGAGCAGTGTCGGTCGAAATGAGGCCGGACGCGGGGCGTAGATGAGCGCCCGAGTTTTTCCGCCCGACACAGTGAGTACGAGCTGCCTGAGATGATAGATGACGTTGTCCAGCGCCCTTTAAAGCTCGGCCACAGCCCTCCATCTTTCTCGGCCGCCCTGTCCGGTCACCCACAACGCGACGTCGTCCGCGTAGACAGCGACGTTGACGGGGTATCGCGCCGTGCCGCCTGCACGGGCTGCCGCCGGGACAGATGACATCCCGGCTGAGAAGAGGGGTGGGCTGATCACGCTGCCCTGCGGGACTCCGCGCGTGAGGTGCCGCGGTGAGCTCTTGTCCTTGCCCACCTTGACAGTCACCGTGCGGCCGCCGAGCAACGCCTGGACGAATCCCAGCGGCCGCCCGGTGACCCGGAGCCTCCGCAGGGCGTCGATGATCGGAGCGTGTGGCAGCGCATCAAAGGCCTGGCGTATATCGAGTAGGACCAGTGCCGCGGAGTGTCCCCTCGCCATGGCCTCTTCGAGCGAGCTGACGAGGTCCCCGATGGGGTCCGCCGTGCAGCGCTTGGTCCGGAACCCCGAGAAGCATTCAGGCAAAGCCCCTGCCGCCTCGAGGTGGTAGTTGAGGCGGCGCAGGACCATTCTCTCCATTGTCTTTCCGAGGCATGACGTCAGAGAGATGGGCCTGTATGAGCTTGGGTTGTTGGGGTCCTTGCCTTGCTTGGTGATGGGGACTGCCACAGCCTCCCTCCACTCGCTGGGGAGCCTGGCCGTTCGCCAGATATTGTTGAGGAAGGCCAGGAGCTGTGGCAGGGTCCCCTCGTCCAGGTTCCGGAGGGCTTGATCGGTGATCCCATCGGGGCCCGGTGCTGTGCGTCGGCGCGGAGCGGACTGCAGCGCGTGCCGCAGCTCGTGCAGTTTGAAATCCGCGTCGGGGGCCTGCATGGCGGGGGCCGTCGGGGCCTCAAACGTCCACCACATGGGAGGGGGCGTGCCCGGGGGAGGAGGGGTGGGGGCCGTGAACAGCGAGTCCGCCAGGAAATCCGCCATCTCGGTCGGGGACAGATGTAGGTGTGCTGCCAAGCAGAGCACGGTGCTGCGCGGGACCGGGAGGCCGCCCAGCGTCCGCACCATTTTCCACGCACGTTTTCCCCCTCCTGGGGCCCCGAAGGAGGCGCACAAGAGACGCCACTGTCTCCTGGCCAGTCGTCGCCCATGGCGCCTGAAGTCCGCGTCGAGACGCTTGTACGCTAGGATGTCTTCAGGGTGGTTGGTTCGCCATGAGCGGCGCTGGGCCTGCCTTCTGCGGGCGCGGAGTGTGGGCCACAGGAGGTCGAGGTTGGGGCGGGTGCTGGGCGCCTGGACGGTCCTCGTGGCTGCTCGCACGGCGTCCTCGATAAGCTGGGAGCTGAAGGGCAGTCCAGCCGCAACCCCCTCGGCGATCAGTGCCCGGTAGTGATCCCAGTCGGTGATTTTGCATACCTTCATTGGGGCCTTCTTGGGGGTGCCCACCACGATGGGAAGGTGGTCACTGCCCCAGCTGTCTGGGAGAGGGCGGGCAGAGAATGCAGGCCCGGTGTGACGAGGGTCAGATCTATCACGCTGCCCCCCGCACCGGGGCCGACGTAGGTGGAGAAGCCCTCCGTGATGTTCAGAAGGTCCACTCTCTCTAGCGTTTCCTGTAGCCGCTTGCCTCGGGAATCCGTTTTGCGGTCCCCCCATGCTTCGGAGTGGGCGTTGAAGTCCCCGCAAATGATAGCACGGTCACGCCCCACTCGAGCACGGAGGGCACAGAGGTCAAGGGTGTCCCAGGTGGCGTTGCCGGGGACGTAAACGGAAACAATATGGAGAGGTCCGTCCGCGAGCTGCAGCGTAACCGCCACCATTTCCGCTGGGCCTCGGATGTCGGGGAGGTCGAGCCTGTTCTGCGTGAGACCCCTGCGGACGAGCAACATTGCTCTAGGATTGTCGCCCACGCGAGCGGGCGTGCTGCAGTATGGAACGTAACCGGACACTCGGGCGGCTGAGCACCTAGGCTCTTGGAGGGCCAGAGCCTTATAGGGTTTTTTTTTGTCCCTAAGGTGCGAGCGAAGCTCTTGTAGGCGCCGCCCGAGGCCGTTACAATTCCACTGCAGCACGGCGCAAACGGACGCTCTGTGGGGGGGCCCTGGATCGTCAATGTTGTCCCCCATTGTTGGTGTGGAGATGGGAGTTCGGTGCGACGTCTGCGAGGATGGCAGAGCAGGCGCGGTGTAGCCCGTTTAGAGACCGCTGTGGCAGATGTTGCGCGAGGGCGGCGATAATCCGGGTCAGCTGCTCCAGGAGGACCCGGAGTTCAGAGTCGCCGCCCTGCGGGCCGGCGGGCAGGTGATCTTCTTGGGGAGGCAGCGTGCTCGGGAGAGCAGGGAGCTTGCTCCCGCGCTGGGCGCCGAGCCCCTGCGGGAAAACGCCGTGGTCTCCCCGCAGAGCACTTTGCCCCTGCGGAAAATCGCCTGGTTTGTTTCCCCGCAGTGCGCGGGGGAGTCTCCTCCCGTCCGGCGCAGCGGTGGTGGTGACGGCGCAGCTCGCTGCCCCGTCGTGGGAGGGGGTTTGTTGGCGCGGCAACCCAGCCTATACAGGAACTTTAGTTTTATACAAGATCCAGGGGGAGGGTGTTGTTAACTCGAAAGTTCGAAGAGGCTTGTAGGGAAAGGGAAGCGCGACGGGGATGAGTCCACTTTTGTCGCGATGAGAGATGACGGTTCTAGGTTATGTTGGGAGGTGCATTCAGGCTGAGTGGAAACAGGGCAGTGAGTCATTGGTGGCTCAAAGGAGCTTCTAGGGAAAGGGTGTGTGAGTTTTTTCGCCATGAAATTAGATTTTTATTTTTATCGTCCTATGGCCGCTGTGGCTGTGCACCCCACGTTTGTCTATATATATATATATATATATATATATATATATATATATATATATATATATATAAGGAGAAAGAGAGAGAAGAAGAAAAGAACCCTTAGTGAAACCAGCAACAAAGGACGATTTAATCTTCCACGTTTCGGCCAAAACGTCGAAGATTAAAGGCCGGTTCACACAAGCAGCGAAGCACTAATGTAGCGCTTCTCACGTGTCGTCCGCTGCTTATTCTCTGCCATGAACAACAGTATTGACGGTGCGATACAAAGCTGGTGAACGCTCCCGTCAGCACGCGCTTAGCGCGAGATCAGCGCTACGCTTGTAGCGCTCCGCTACATGTGATCAGGCCTTAAATCGTCCGTGTTGCTCTTTTCACTGAGAGTTCTTTTCTTCTTCTATACCCACGCCTTCGGCCACCCGCCACCCATTCCCGTTCTATATATATATATATATAGGGAGTGTTCATTTTTAATACGAACAGATTTATTTTTAAAAAATCCGTGAAAGATGCACTGATACGGTTTGTGCAGGTGAGTTTTACGTCCAGGGGGACATATTATACAGGGCTAATCGTAACGGTCAATTGGCTCATTAATTAAGATTCGTTAATAACCTTTTAATTAATGAAAATAGACATATGGTTCCAATAAGAGACTTGCACAGCGTCACCGAAAACCACTAAATCAGTCATTTTCAGAACGACTTTGAGCGCGTGAGAAGCGTAGTAGTGCACTAAAGTTACGACTCGTGGAGTAGGTATATATATATATATATATATAGGGTGGTCCAAGTCACCAGGCTCGATCTAAAATGGACCGTAAAAATCGACGCCTGCACGTAGTAATCTAAACTTTTCGTCAAAAGTGTATTTCACAGGTCGGTTTTTTCTTGTAAAATTGCAACGCGTAGTTCATTTCCTGTGAAAAATAGGGTCAAGAAACTTGCCATGGTCTACGGCGGGCGACGATCCAGACGACGAAGTCCAGTAGCGGTGTGTATTTGGCGTTCGTATTGATAGATGGCGTCGGGAGCAGCGTCCGAAGGTGCAGCCGACCAGCGAAAGAAAGCAGACGGCACGCAGACGAAATCCGTTGGCAGCAAAAGCGCCGTCGTTATGCAGACGGGTTTTTTACTTTAAGTATCGCTTTTATTGTCCGCATTTATTTTTTAACCGAAGGTACATCTCAAAAAGATTATGTTCATTTCAATAAACCACGGTGGTCGGGAGCAGTTGCGATAAGGAGGTAGCGCGATCTATCAATACGAACGCCAAACACATCCCGCCACTGGACCCCCGTCGTCTGCGTCGCTGCCCGCCGTAGACCCTGGCAAGTTTCTTGGCCATATTTTTGACAGAAAGAGAGCTACGCTTTGCAATTTTACAAGAAAAAACTAACCTGTGAAATACACCTTTGACGAAGAGTTTAGGTTGCTACGTGCAGGTGTCGATTTTAGGGAGAAGCTCCTTAAGGGGTGCTGCCTGCCGGGAAGCTGCTTAAGGGGTGCGCGTGCCGGGAAGCTGCTTAAGGGGTGCGCGTGCTGGGGACAAATTCCGGGGATTTGTCCCCGGCACGTGCGCATCACGAGATGAAAACGCGAGGCCTTTGCACATCGCAAAGCCTGACGTTTTTGTCGTGGGTTTCGCGTGCCGGGGAGAAATCCCCGGGATTTCAACCCCACCCTTGGTTAGTGTGATTCTGAACCAACAGATGGCGGTGGGATCGCCTTCCAAGCCTGTTCATCAATCCGAGAAATCGTGTGTGGTGGCGCTTCAATACAGTGGGGTATTTTTCTATATCCTGAATTTGAAATCCCTGGGCCCGTTTTCTCGAACGCAAACCGTGGTTTAAAGTTAACTATTGTCCCTAGAACGGGGAATTTTAGGTCACGTGACTGGGCGAGCAGGGGCGCCGAGGGAGAAGCAGTACCTACAAGCAAAA